TAAATGACATTTTTAACAGCCTTCTATTTAATATGCTTTGATGGTGGTTTAAACTGACAAAAATTAAAATTACTTTTGGAATTCCACCCTTTATTGGAAAAAAATAGTGTGACTACTGTTGGAAAGCTCTAAAGACCTTGTTTTGATTTCATACCTTCTCTTCGAGCTAATGCTACAGATTCACAGGTATCAAAGCACAAACCTCTACTACTTAAAGAATTAAGTGTCACTAACCACTTGTCAGAACTCACAGGCTATTAGTGCCCAACTTGATGAACTCTTTGGTGATAGTGTCCTTCCTCACAGCCAGAGTGAATACAGAAATAAGCAGTTTCAACAGATTAAAATTTTAGAATTTTTTAGTGATGGGTTTTAAAACCATAGTGCTGAGATGCTCAGCCCAACTGTATTTGTGAAACTGCAACTAGGAAAAACAAATTCATATAAAAAGGGATTTTTCCTCTTCCATTCTAGTTGTCTTTAAACTAATTTCTATGAAAAGTAACCTATGCTATATTTTACATCTCTTGTGATTTTTAAAATTTGTTTTATTATTGTATCTAAATGTATCTGTATGTATTTAAGGCATATGCCACCGAAGTGACAAAATCCTGGTTCCTCTGATTCAGTTAAGAGTTTCATCATTGAGCTTAGTGATGAAAAATTAAAAGACAATGTAGAGAAACATCTCCTTTGTTTCTGCTTATTTTAATTGGAGGAAAATGGTCACATTTCCAACAAAAGGAACAATTGGCTAAAATTCCAGTGGTATATAAATATTAACAAGATGTTGATATAAACATGCACAAAAGAGTAGAGTGACAACTATTCACAGTTCTCATAAGACTTTTCAGAGCCTTTATACAGAAAAGGTAGCATATTCCTTTATTTTCTACAAGTCTGTTTTTCCTGAAAATCTCTGCTACATCATTACATCTCGTTTGCAATGCTTCTCAGATGCCCAGTTTTGATTAGGCAGCCCTGCACCTCCCTGTCACACGTTTTTAGGTACTAAAACACAGAGAAAAAAAGAACAACTTTCCCCAGCTAGAAATAGAGATGAACAGAGGAAATGACTGAAGAAAAACATCCTTCTTTATCAGGTCTTCTGGACATAGAACTATTTTCAAAAAACATCAAGTGCTCTTTGTAATATTTGTCAGCAAAAGACCAAAATAAGAAAACTGAGTGATACAAACAGGTTCTGCTACTGCTGCAGATAAAAGGCTTCAAGTAGCTCTGTACTACAGGTTACCCATCTCATTTGGCTAGCTGTGCAAAAAGGAGAAAATCTGGATTTTTAAGAAAAGGCATCCAGGCAAAATTATGAAGTTTAAAATCACTGACTCTTAAGAAAGTTTGGGAAGGAAAATGTAATTTAATTTATACTAAGACACCAGGTATAATGTGAGTATTTCAGTACTAAGTTCTGTGATCAGGTCACTTAAGACACTTCTGGCTAGATTCACCTATCTGAAAAAGTTACATATATACACCTGGTAGTGAATTATCTTTTGTGGAAATGGTTAATGATGGAAAAGAGTAATAACATCTTGCTCTCCAGTTAGACTGAAGTCCCAGCATGGATGTTGAGAACAGTGCTTATTCTAATGCACTCCACAAATGGTGGACAATCAGAAGCTAGTAAAATTAGTGGAAAGAATAACAGCTGTGTAAAACACCTATCCAGTAGTTTAATTCACTGATGTTGCCAGCATGTCACCTTTCCATGCAATCAAGAGTCCACTTAACCCACACAAACTCTGGCTAATTAGGTTCTTACATGTTATCCAGCAAAGAATTAAAACAGAAACTTTTTCCTTACAGTATTTTTATTGTAAAACTAAACCACCAACTAAAACCAAAGCACTCTGCAATTTCCATTTACTTCTAGTGGATTCGGAGAGTGTACACAACTCTGTGGTTTAAAATATATAAACTTCTCTAAGAAGATTTTTAACTTCTAAACTACTCATTAGTATCTTTGGGTTACTCAAGACAATCACCAGTTAGCAGCACAGGAAGTAATACAGAGATTCAGCTGATAAATGGGCATTGAGAATAGACCTCCCTAAGTCCTGATAGTAAGGAATTTCTTCCCACATTCATCATACTGCAGCATCAGAATTCTTAAGAACAAGGTTTCAGAGAATAAAATGAAGTCTTCTTAAAGGCTCTTATGCAGAACTGTAGTGCAAACATTATCTAGTAGGATATCCCATCTGGTCTTCAGGTGCCTTTCCAGAAGTGTTCTACTTAGACTCTGTTTTCCAGCCTCACACAGAGGTCTGAAACACCTTAACGTGTTCAAACTGGCCCAAGACACCTATGTTTACACAAGTTAATCATACTTTTACTCTGTAATGTTGCACACTAGAAAATGATTTGCAATTGCCCCTTCGTTCCAGTATCACGAGGCCAAACATAGATTAAAAGTAACTGATCTGTTTATAAAGCATAATGGCACCAAATCAAATGGAGGCATCATCACTAGCTAGGACACAAAGTTCCTCTTCTGATACGTTCTCTACCACTATCAGCAGACAAAATCAACAGGATCCTTCTGTTTAACAAAAAAAAAAAAAAACAAAAAAAACCCAACAAAACAAAACAAACAAAAAAAACAAACAAAAAACCCCCAAAAAACAAACAAAAAAACAACACCAAAAACCCACAAAAAAACCCTCAAAACAAACAAACAAAAAACCCACAAAAACAACAACAAAACAAAAAACTATCATGACAACAACCTTTACATTTCATATTTTTTTATATCATAACTTTGTCTGCTTTCAGTAATTTTAATGGAAGCTTTACTAATTTGCAGCATTTCAGATTTCTGGCTCCTAAAATATACTGATCGAAGCACAAGAAGTTGCAGTCTCTTTCTGTTGTTCCACTGATGTAATTTACTCCTTAGCAAATTTTCACTTTTCATTTTCCCCTTCTGAGAGGTATGAGTCAAGAGAGAATATACAACCCAGGAGACATGGCTGAGGTGAGCACCTGTGCACAGCACAGGTATGGGGTTTTTCTGTATGCCCAGCATTCAAGGAAGTGGAAGCAGAGCACACTGAAAGACAGCTTGGTCCAGGAAACGTTCAGCAGTGCAGTTAGGGCAGGGAACAGTTTCACTGATGTTACCAGGACCTATTGCCATGTGCAATGAACTTGCACCTTAGGTGATCATTAGGGATGGAAGTTGCAACTACTTACCTGCTTAAGAGGAAGCATACATTTCAGTGTTTGTCAGAGTAGAGCTTGCTTAGCCCATACTTCACAGAATTAGATTCAAACAGCCCACCTTTTATAATCTGATTGCAGAGCTTCAATAAAAATGAAGGACTCTGTTCCAATTCCAGCAAGATTGTATTGGGCAAAACCGTTTCTGTACATAGAATAAAATAATCCTAGTATGTTGAACTCTTCCATCAGCAGTCCTTTTCCAACTTTCATTTGGATCATAGTTGCAAGCCATCAAAGGAGCAACAAATAAAACATGTTTATATGCCAACAAAATATTAATTATATATGCTTTTATTTTCCAAATTACTATTTAAGTACCACACATCTTTTTCCATGAGGGTGTTTTTCTGTTCTCAGGACAAAAATCTAATTGTAACTCATGTTTTGAATTACTAAAAGTTATCTTACAATTATCTTCTAACAACTATTTAGCTAGAAGTTCATTTCCTGGCAACACAAGAAGTACATTAAATTGTTCCAAACTTGAAAGATCCTTTGGCTTCATTATCAAGGAATTTAAGTTATGTTCAGTGGAAATATAATTTTCTGGTTTAAATGTTGGGTTTTCCCACCCACACACTTTATAGAAAGCAACACTAAAATAACGAAAACAAAGAAAATGCACTGTTTCTTTCTATCTGGACACTTGTTTTCCATCACAGGGATTGGAAGTACCAAAGAAAAGCACTTTAAGAAAAATAACAGAATAGTTGCTAGTGTATTGATCTAGCATTAGGATAAGCCAGAAAAGAAAATCTTCGCTGACAGAATTTTATAAACAATATAGTCCTCACGACCTAAAAGCATTATGAACTGCAAATCCGCTACATCGCTACAGGTTATTTTGTAGTTCACGTTACACAGAATGCTACATTAAAGGAATACTTTTGTGTGGATACTTTTGCCTTTGAACAGTAAAACCCGTTTTATATTTCATAACCACTGCATTCAATAAGACTATTAAGACTGTCAAGTAAATACAGCTACTGCAATTCCAGATCTGCAGAACAGCTGCACACGTATTGAATTCAAGCTCAAACACTAACAATGGTTATGTTAATAGGATATAAGCAGTATCTGTCATGCACCCGAGCTGTTTGCAGTACTTTTGTTTCAAAGTCTGTCTCACTAGTAAGCTTATGTCTAGCCAGTGAGCGATTTATTTAGCAGTGAGTTATGTTCGCACGCAAGGGAATAGCAAGGGAATAGGGCAACCCCCTTTGTCGTCCCCATCTGTCTCTCATCCTTCCAGATAACCAGCACACCACCATTTTCCCCGCAAACAAACGTTAAGCAAAGCCCAACTCTGGTGAAAATAAAGGCAAAGGGGCAACTCTCGCCGGTGCAGGAGCAGCGCGGGGGGCAAAGCCCGGGGGCAGCCCCTCGCCGGGGTCGGACGGGGCTCCCGACCGGCGGGGCAGGCGGTGGCAGCACCTAAAGTATTCCGGAACCGAGTGCAGACAAAAGAGGGTGTGTAGCAGCTGCGCGGAGCGCGGCAGCCGCCGGCACGCCAGCCCGCTCCGCTCGGGAGGCAGAAAGTCCATTCCCGGCACGGAAAAACCCACCCACCCGTACCCGCTCTCTCCCTGCCCCTGGCTGCCGAGGGCAGGGCACGTCTCCCGGTACCCCACGGCAGGATCAGGCACGGCGCGGCCCCTCCGCCCCCGAGGAGGGGTGACGGCTGCGGGCGGGTTGAAGTTTGGGGGCGAAGGGTAGATCCCCGCCACACGCACCCCTCCCAACCCGCCGCTTACCTATGGGGAGGTGCGCGGTGCCCGCAGCCCTCCCGGCGCAGCGACCTGCGGGGCTGCGCCGCGCCCGTCACACTCGGGGCTCCTCCGGCGAGGCGACGGCTGGCTCAGGGAGTGACAGGGCGGCGGCTCCCCTCGCCCTTCCCCGGCACCGTGCTCGGCGCAAGGCGGGCGGGGGCAGGCATGGCGAGCAGGCAAGGGAGCGGGGCTGGGGCGGTCACTGCCGGCCGGAGGAGGACGCCCGCCGATCGGGGGCTGCGCGCCCCCGCCGCCGCCACCGCACGACCAGCCGGAGGCGGCCACCCCCTGCTCGCCCCGCGGCGACGGGCGGGTGCCATAGCAGCGCTCCGCGGGAGCTGCGGGGGGGAATCGGCCGCCAGGCAGCCGCCCAGGGGGGCGTGGGCGGGCGGCGGCTCCGCGGCGCAAAAGTTTCCCGGCTCCTCAGCGAGGTGCCCGGGAGCCGCTCGTCCCCGGCACCGCCGCGGGGGAGAGTGGCGGGACGGAGCCCGCTCCCGCAGCCGCCCCGCCGGCCGGACCCGCTTCGCTCAGCGCCGCCGGGGCTCGGTCCCCGCCGCCCGCCCGCGGCAAAGTTTCACTCCGCAACCTCTCGGCTGCGGCCTCATCTCCATGGGAACGACACCCCCCGCTCCATTTCCCGCTGCTCCCCACGGGACGCGGTGGAGGCGGGCGGAGCTGGGGTAGCCCCCTCGCCAGTCGGGGCGATGCGGGGAGGCTGGGACGAGCTCGGCGGGCGCTGGGCAGGTCTGGCAGCGGACAGCGGACGGGACGGCGGATGGGGAAAAGGGCAGGCTGAGCCCCAGGGCGGGGACGCGGCTCTTTCTCTACCTCCCGCCTGCCGGGGAAGTTTTCCGGTCCCCCGGGGAGAGCGCGATGAGCCGCCGGGAGCTGCGCCCCGCTCCCGCCGGGACCAGCCGGTTTTAGAGCCTCCTCTCCCCACGCAGCTCTGTCCCAGCCCCGCCGGAGCGGTGGCTTTGTAAGGCGGCCGCTTCCGTCCCGGCGGGCTGACAGACCGCGGCCGCGGGGGAGGAGTCACCGGCGGGGGCGGCTGGGAGGTGGTGCCGGAGGGGGGTGCAGGTGTGTCGGTCGTGGGTGTGCCGGTCACGGGTGTGTCGGTCACGGGTGTGCCGGTCGCGGTGCCGCGGACGCGGCGGGGACCCCGGTATATGGGGCCGCGTGCCCGCCTTCCCTGTTCCCCTGTGAGAGCCGGACGGGAACTGCGGGAGCGCAGAGTGATTCACCGTAATGTGGGGTTTTTACCTCAGATGCAATTACATTTTATGATTCAGCTTTTAATTTTTTGTGGTTTGGTTTGGTTTGGTTTCTTGGGGGTTTTTTTTGCGGCCGCACGCCCACCCATCGTGTCCAGCCAGGGACGGCAAAGTTCAGCTGTGTGGTGCTCGCACCTTCCAGTCAGACGGGGTAATCCAGCAGATGGGCTTGGGAGACGGGATGACTCCAGTCTGCATGGGAACTCTCCGCATTTTTAAATCAAGCATCTTTTTGGGGAGAAATAAAAGCAATCCTGCACTTGGCTTGCATTGGTAGCAGGTTTTATTTCATTTTTTAAAACGGATTGTACTTATGTGTTGCCATTGCATTTTATCTCACCATAATTCTACCTAATGCATCTCCCCAAAAAAAGAAGGATACTGAACTTGGTATAAACATACCTAAATTTTTCTTGGAAAGTGCTTTCCTCAAGACAGGGAGGAGCTATCATCCATCCAGCAATAGTACTTCAAATCCTAAGTAGATACAGTTTCTTGATGGTTGTACAGTGTTTTGTCAGTTCTCAGTGTATACTTTATAATGATTGTACTCCTGATGGCTCCAGTGGCTTCTGCATTAAATACATCCTCCATTATCATCTTATTCTAGCAAGGAGACCACATGCTAGCAATTCTGGACTAACAAAGAGAAAGGTAACATTCCTCAGAAGTTTGAAACATTGCATGTCCAGCTGTTCAGCTTGTTTTGCTTCAAGGAATGAAGAATCACTTTCAAGTGACAGATTTCTGACTGTTCATTCAGGTATTACTGGAGCTGTAATTTGGTTTGTGTATGATGTAATGTGTATTTCATGTCAACTAGTGAGAGGACAGGTCTGCAGACAGGCAGACCTTCGAAATTGTCAAAATCTGCGAGATGCAGCTGTGTATCACAGAGGCAGTGGATGAAAGGATTATATATGCCCACCAAATCCCAAGCAGATGCAATGTCTCTACAAGTAGAAAATCCAAAATTTTCTTAATAATTTATGGAAAGTGTTGCTGTGGAAGAGATATGGAAACTTCATTTGCCTGTCCTGTAGTAGATGATGAAATGTGGACCAGGGGTGTGACATGAACCAGCGCTGGTTTCACCGCCACTCTTGTACTGTCTCTGGAAAGGCTAGGGCTTGTAAATCTGCAAGGAAAAATATTTGTTCAGTTCTTGCTAGTGAACTCTGTTTCCTCTCCAACAGCTAAGTAGGTAGAATATCACCATACCTTTCTTCTTGTCATGGTTTAACACCAGCTGTTAACTAAACACCACACAGCCATTCGCTTACTCTTCCCCTGTGAGATGTTGGAGAGAATCTGAAAAGTGAGAAAAATCATGAGTTGAGATGAAAACCATTTAACAGGTAAAGGAAAAGCCACATACTCAAGCACAGCAAAACAGGGAATTCATTCACCCCTTTCCGTGGTTCAGGTATCTCCAGGAAAGAAGGGCTCCATCATGCCTAACTGTGACTTGGAAAGACAAATACCATCACTCCAAACATCCCCCACTTCCTTCTTCTCCCAGTTCTATATGCTGAGGATGATACCATATGGTATGGAATACCCCTGTGGTCAGTTGGGGTCAGCTGTCCTGGCTGTGTCCACCCCCAGCTTCTTGTGTACTCCCAGCCTCCTCACTGGTGGATTGGAGAGAGAAGCAGAAAAGACCTTGACTCTTTGCAAGTCCTGCTTAGCAGTAACTAAAACATTGCTGAATTATCAACATTGTTTCCAGCACAAATCCCAAACTTAACTGCATACTAGCTGCTATGAAAAAAAACATCCTCATAAATCCTCAGATCATTTATGCTCTCAAACATCCCTCCCCAGAAAAAACTGGGCAGGTGACAGTAAGAACCAGCATGGTTTTGGGGACAGAGTGAATAGGTTGGAGGACTAATTTCAGTAGTGTTACTAGGCGAGAAGTATCTCTAGGATAGACTTCCTCTTGCATTTGCTGTATGAGCAAAACCCACACTGACACTGAACCACAGGATTGTTGTTTTTACACATGATCCATAAGCTATATGTAGAAAAATATGATAATTAATTTAAATTATTGTGGGCAACACTTTTTGTTGGAGATTGCTGTGGATTATAGTACAAGAGCTGCCTATCCTAGCGACAGACATTTTGGAGACATGTCTTGGAACTAGATGGCATTTAGCTTTGCTACTTACCTGTGTTGCCTGGAGTCTTCTAAAACTCTATGGATGCATTTTAAAAGAGAGGTAGAGCCCCTGGTGGTCTAGTGGTTAAGGGCGCGGTGCTGTCACCGCCGAGGCCTGGGTTCGATTCCCAGTCAGGGACACTCCCGGGCAGATGGAGCTCGTTAGCCCTTAAAGGCAACCCATCTACGTCCTAAGGGCCTCGCTGCCACCGTCCAAGCTCGCTTGGCCCCGGCAGATGAACCTTAGGATTAAAGGGTGGGCTCAGTTCCGTGCACACTGTGTCTCACCTAAAAAAAAAAAATCCAATGCGCAGGCTGGAAGGTGTAAAGACCTTCCCCGGATCTTCGCTCGCGAAGACTGGCCATTATTTATTAAAAGAGAGGTATCTACTCTTTTTCCTACTTCAAACAGTTTTATACTGACCTTAACACCATTGATTTAAGGAATTTGTTACCTATCTCCAGAAGAAAAGAAAGAAGAGAATAAGGCTCTGAGGCTCTTCAGATGTGTCATCTGTACATCTCTGGAGTGTTAAACAACGTCAAGACCAATATTTCAGGCTTTAAATGTCAACACTGATACTGCTAATGCTCAAAAAGCCCAAACGTTTTAATGCATTAATTATAAAGGTGGATGCTTCTAAGGTTATAGCAAGAATCAGTAGTTTAGCCTCATGAGTGAGACTCTTCCATTCCTTAAAGGCATGGAATACTTCTCTTTGAAATCTGGAATGTTAGCAATATTATACTAGTTTCCCTTTCAACCTACACCTTTCAGTTCATAGTATGAAAAGTCATTCATTTACTGTAATAAGCAAGGCAGTGGGTGGATTAAACTTTAGGTGTATCTTCTTAATTTTAATCCAATTAAAGAGAAAGCTGGCATTCTTTTAGTTCTCGCCTTTGGACAGAATCTTTTTCTAAGATCCAGGCTCATTTCTACTTCAACTTTGGATAAAATTTGTGATGCTTAACTTCCCTATGTGATAATGAGGTAAATGTGAAATATCCTGAATTTGGAACACAAATGAAATTGAAGGTTGAAAGAATCCCCATTAGAGGTGAAAAGCTGTAGTAAAGTCTGAACCATTACAGTGAGAATAAATGACACTAAAAGTTTGGAGTTTTTGCTAAGACTTGCTGTGAATTGTACTGTGAATCTGTTGTCTTACATAACTTATTTCTCACATTGTAGTAAACAAAAAAACTTAGCCTATATTTGTTATCCCTTAATCAGAAATAACTGTTTAAGACAGAAAAATAAATCTTCAGTCTGTCATTTGTTCATATTGATTTGTTCATATTGAATTTTTTTTATAGTGTAATTGGTGAGAATCTGTAAGCAGTGAATAAGGGTATCAAGTTCTTTGGTTAGTCAATAAATAATAAACACATAACTGAAAAATATGTCTAGATCTCTGCCTTAATGACTGGTTTCTGCCTGCAAAATCTGAGATCTTTAATCTGTGCATGAGAAAATGCTTAAGCAATCAAAGATCTAAGTAGTGTCTTAGTATTAAATCACAAGGCTGTTATATGTAATCAAGAGGTACAAGCTAGTAACCAAACTTCAGTCATAAACAATCTGAAAAATCCCAATGTTTTCCAGTGAGAAATGGAGTTAATGGTGTAAGTATTTCTGTCGTGTAATTCTAGAGCACACAAAATGGCCTTATATGCTTTGCTGTATTTTCCCTCTAACTGAGACAGTGGAAGTATTATTAGAAGAGAGGAATGATGCCACAAAGACTGTTGTTTTAACTTCTGACTCTATCACTGCCTCCTACAGTCTCTCTTCAAACAAAAGCCATGTTTCAAACAAAAGCCACCAGAGGTTT